CAATATTATATTATATTCTGTTTTCATAAGTTTGCCTGTATAATAACTCCAACATTGTGTTAACACACACACACATAAAAAAAAAAAAAAAAAAAGACAAATCTAGCATGGGCGCGAGCACGCGACCCGCGGACTACTAGCGCGGCGCTTAGTCTGCTGCGCCATGCCGCAACTTCGAAAAACCTTCTTTTAAAATTGTACTTAAGTAGCATGCGAAAATTCAAACTGCGATTTCTCGCAAATGCTTGAGAGTTGCATCGTCTCCGAGTAGCATTTGTTACTTTTATATGCGTACTATCACTCTGCAAAATTTCATCAAAATCGGTGACCCACTGGGTGTACACTCTCCTTGTAAGTATAGAAACAAACTCACCATTAATTGACAAATTACAAATTTTCAACCTCTCAATCTCCGAGACACATGGTAATGAGCAGCAAACAAATTTCAACCGTCACTCGCAACGCACAGAACACAATAAAGTCACGAAAATAAACGAATATAAAGAAGAGAGAGAAAATCGAGAGTGAGAGAAGAGATACACCACGTGGTTAAACTACACGTGACTAACGAATAAGTTTATCAATCAGGAGCGTATAAATCTCATCGAGAAGTTCAGTATCTTTTTTTAAATTGATGCCGTTTTTTTGCATTTTAATGTTGATCATCTCAGAAATCAATCTTTTTTGATAATATTGTTCAACATCCAGAATCTTAACATTATCCCAAATGAAATCATGACCCAAGTCACTGCGGTGCTTACTAACAACGGATTGCCGGTTATATTCCAAAGAAAAGTTTTTTTGGTGTTCAGAAATTCTAGTTCGGATTTGTCTGCTTGTCTGTCCCACATATGACGCATCACAAGAGGAGCAGTTCAATTTATACACTACATTGCAACGTGATCCATGACTCAAATCATCTTTATGAACTTTAATAAAACGTCTGAGAGTGTTCAACATTTTAAAAGAAAATTTAAATTTCGTTTTTTTCAACGATTTAGAAATATCATCAGTAAGTACCCTGAATGAAAGGCAAAGTAAAGTAACTCTCATTCTCACTCCCACTCTGACACTCAGTAACTGGAATGGGACCACTATTCACCGTGTTGAGTTTGTTAAAAAGATAATGCAATCTTCTCACAATGGTCTTGAAGATTAAATCAATTAGATAGTCATTAGCCAACAAGATGTGGATCGCTTTCAGCAAATTTTCTTTGTAAAAAGTTGGATGAGAAAGGAGTATAGATCTATCCGTAATGCCATAATATATATAATTCCAATCTTTTGGCTAAAAGGATGTTTAGAGAAAAAATTTAAGTAGCGTCCAGAAAAGGTGGGCTTATGAAACCAATTTAAACGTAACCTGTTATTCATGACATGGATGGTAGTGTGTAAAAAATTGATTGATCTGTCTCTCTCGATCTCAACGGTAAATTTCAGTCTGTGGTAATATGAATTAAAAGAATCTACGATGAGACTCATATTCTCTCTTGGTAGCGCTAACAGAATATCATCGACATAACGATAATAAAAAGGCAGTGTTATGTTTAAGTTATATTGAGACAATGGTCCTCGAGATCTTGAAGCACAATGTCTGCAATAATTGGTGAGAGAGGAGATCCCATCGGAGTTCCAAAGGTTTGTTGGTAGGTGATACCATTAAACGTGAAAAAAGTAGAAGAGAGAACGAATTCCAAAGCACGAATAAAAGGATCAAGAGGGATTCTTGTATGATCTTTAATATGGTTCCATCTCTTTCTGAGGCTATCAAGAGCCAAGTCAATTGGTATATTGGTGAATAGCGATACCACATCCAATGATAAAACGACATCCGCATCACCCAAGTGTACGCCTGACAAATTTCCAAACAATTCAAAACTATTATTAATGAAACTACGTGGCTTAGGTAAGTTTTTATATAAAATATTATGTAAAAAAGAAGCAAAATTGTAAAGTGTTGTGTTTGTATAAGAAACAATAATTCTAAAAGTAAGACCTGGTTTGTGAATTTTAGGAAGTCCGTAGGCTCTAGGAAGGGGTCTATCATTACAGATCAACGAGTAATAGTCCCTATCACTTATGTAATTTTCTCTGCGCCAAGATTTTAAACAGTCATTTAACTTATTCTCGACTCTCTTTGCAGGATTCTTTAAATCTGTCTTCAAATAAGTATCTGTATCACTTAATATTGATTCAATTTTTGAAAAATAAACATCTTTATCAAGTGCCACTGTGACATTGCCTTTATCTGCTTTTGTAAAAAGAATATATCTGGGTGACTTTCAATAAAACTTTTTGTATATTTAACTTTTTTAATCAGTTCCCTGTCAGTATGATTTAGGAAATGATTGTTGTTGATTAAACGTTCGAGAGAGGAGGCTGTGAGTAGACGCACATGGGATCTCAATTTCTCATTAGTATTTCTAATGTTATTCTCAACAAATTTGATAGTTTCCAATCGTCTCTCTGAATCCCGAGATGGCAAACTGAATTTCTCACCCAAGGATAATAAATCAATAACAGTGCCCGGAATTTCACTTGACGTGAGATTGACGAACCATTTTTTTCTAATGTCTAATGGCACTGAGCTCAAATCAAAAGATGTTTGATTAATGTTAATTTTTTCTACTCGAGAACGGGTGACACTCTATTGACCACAGTACGATTCGACACCGCTCGATTCGACACAGATTTATTCGACACCAAATTATTCGACACCGTACGATTC